AATTTATGAACTCACTACTTCCCAAGGTGCGGATTGCTATTCTCCCCACCTGAATAGCAACCCCCGGTACGCAAGTAGCGTTATGGTAGAGGTTGGTAAATGTGCCTTATTTACTCATTGGTACGGTTGCTCTAAGAGTGTATAGAATCACAGTAGGCATTGGTTGTCAGAATAAGTTCTTTTGTTTACATCGTGGCTTAACCGGAGCAATCACGTCGCGATTCGATCCTGCACACACGAAACGATAATCCCGGTCTATCCGCTTCCCTGGGCAGGAATGTTATACTTCGGTTGACCGAAAGGGCACTCTGCTGGGCTGAAAAGCTAAACTTTCGTTACTTCTGGGACCACGAACCAGCAAATTTACCAGTGGGAGTACCTATGGAAGAGACCACTGCCTTTTCTGGAGCTTGGTAAGCTGCCACTTCTCAAATTCTTCCAAACATTGGTACAGCGAAAATTAGTACCGTCTCAATGACGCGTTCATCTAGAACCTTAGATCCATAGGCCAACATGAGAGTCATTTCCCCTATCATCGTTAAACCAAAAAAAGCTTACTCACAATGCGAATCAAATGCTGCAATTAAAATTAAAATTCATTCAGCAATTACCATGTTATAAGCGTTTGAAACCTGACACTATTTCGTCACACATTTTTTTTTTATTTGCATCCCAGTATAGTGCACAAAGACGTAGTCCTACGTCAAAAGTTTTTAAATATTTATCAAGGACTCCACTGTTATTCATGTTTAATTTTTTTATAATTTTTCAACAAAATAACAATTCAAATTGTATAGGAAATATACACACTTTTCCTAGATGTAATTAACTTTTCCCTACAAATTTGTCCCAAACGTTATTTTGATTTCGATGTTACATTTCCGTGCTACAATTGATTGAAGAATGTCAAATATGGCATTTTGAAAAAAATAATAATTATGATTCAAATTGGCCGAATTTTAGCACAAATGTGAATGATTGCCCATAACAAACAATTATGGAAAGTTTCATGCAAATTCGGAGAAGGTCGAGTCTGATGGATTCTTCAATTGGCGTGGAACTGCTTCATGGTAAATACTGATCCGCTATCATTTCCAAAAATTCCCCTGATTGCTGATTGATGACTATAAATTCAGTTGCTATAATATATGTGGAGATGCATAGGTGTTCTCGGCCCCAGTCATTTGATTCTTTGTACAAATTTCGTCAATTCGCGGAGTAGCAGCTACAAGTGGTGATCAATGCTCATGCTCATGAGGGTGCTTCATTTTGTATAAAAAGTGATGAATTTCTGATAGGCCACCTTCTAGTTCGTACCATTGCCCCAAAATATGAACCTGTGCATCAAATGGTGAAGAGTTAGCTTCAGGTTTATAGGTCGCGCAAATGATTTGAAATGTGTATGGGAATTAATATGGAAGAATTTCAAAAATCACTTCACTAACTTTGCTTCTACATGTCCAAATGTTGGAAAAAATTAATATGTTGTTACTATGTCAATGACCAAAAATGTTGTTGCTGTAACGGTTAGGTTTACAACATATCAAGAAAGACTTAAGGTGTTTTCTTACAAAGTCCATTTTTCCATCATACATCGCAATTTCAAGATATACGAGGTTTATACATTTGCAAATTTCAGACATTGGCCCTTATTACCGGTGTCACTTCACGGTGAAGAGGCAACTTATCACTCACGGTGAAGTGATTCCCATTTGATTTACACGGCAATCACTGCACCGTGAGTGACAACTGGTCACTTCACTTCGTTTTCACCGTGAAGTGACATCCGTAATTAGGGCCATTGCTTGCTTCTCCGCAGCAAACAACAAGTAGTAGGGGCTTATTACGGATGTCACTTCACGGTGAAAACTTGTCACTTGTCATCACGGTGAAGTGATTCCCATTTGATTTGTTCGGCAATCACGGCTCTTATTCCGAGTATCACTTCCTTATCACAGTGTAGTGACACCCTTAATATGGCACGTAGTTTCACCTTAGTGCATTCACAGAAACTTTAATATTTTTACTTGTGAAATTGCAAAGTGTAACACGAAAAGGAAGCTACAGGGAATCACCTTAAATGCGAAAAAAAAATTATGAAATAGAGGCCTGTTCGGATCGAATAAAACAAACCAAGGTTGGTTGCTTGCAGGTAGATCAAACTGCAATTTTATGAGAAATTCATTGAAATTAGTACAGTATTTTCATGAGTTTTAGTGTTAGTATTACTCACAATTTTAGTTTGTCTTCCTCCTCTAAACTTTTCTTGTCTTTCCAATCTCGCTTCCAATACTATGCCTGACACAATTAAGCGCATTAATATTATTTATTTTCAACGTTTTCTGCATGTTTTACCTGTCTGCCAATCTATCTTGTCGATCCGTCTATCATCGACTAACCTCCTCTTTGTGTCGTAAAAAACTGTAATTTAATTATTTCGTTCTAAATGTGTTTCAATTTTTGTATGTTGAACTAACCTGGTGTATTAAACTGCGGTCGTTTAATTTTTTACCTTCTCAAAAAAACGCACCGAAATTTCACTTTTTTCCAACAAACACGCTCTTAATCTCATTCTACAATGAACTAAACTTCAGCCTTTCTTTTTTATTTGTTTACTTCTCCTCTGCACGACTTCTGTCAGATCAACTTCTAACTATTTTTTCTATCTCTTTGTCACCTGTCACTTCTACTTCACCCGTCACCTTGTCACGCCTCATCGGCCAAACCGCTTCTCGCCTCATCGGCCGATCGCGAAGCGAGGTGTTGCCAGAACAGGGCCCTTATTATGGGTGTCACTTCACGGTGAAAACGAAGTGAAGTGCCCAGTTGTCACTCACGGTGAAGAGATTGCCGTGTAAACCAAATAGGAATCACTTCACCGTGAAGTGACATCGGTAATAAGGGCCAGGGTAAATTGACAGATGAATATGTGAAAATGCCTATTTAATCACAACAATAACAAGCTTGTTGATCGTTGGCATGGCAACCACATACTATTTTTTTTTTAACGTTTGGACAACTACAACCAAAGTTAGAACAATGTTAGTGGAAATCAATAATGTCCCATACTAATTCACCTAAATCTCCATACTAACTTCAAATCATTTACTAGACCTCTAAACCTTCATCAATGTTTACCATTTTTTGCACAGGCTCATATTTTGGAGTTATGAATCGAACTGGAGGATGACCTATCAGAAATTCATCACATTTTTTTTTAATGAAGCACCCTTGCTCTTCTGCTTCTTCTTCTTCTCCGCATTTCAAGGTTATTACTTATAGCATATTAGCTTATTGCGTGCTTTCAACTGAGCGTTCTATATACACTTTCATAGTTATTGATTGAGAGCTTTCGATACCTGTACCATTTTTGCATTAGTATAATTGTGTGGGAAGTCGAGAAATTGTCCAACCCGAAAAATTCCTAGACCGGACCGGGAATCGAACCCAGCCACCTCCAGCATGGTCTTGCTTTCTAGCTGCGCCTTTAATGACTGAGCTAAGGCAGTCCCTGGGGAGCTCCCTTAGCTCAGTCGGTAAAGGCACAGCTACAAAGCAAGACCATGCTGGAGGTGGCAGGATTCGATTCCCGGTCCGGTCTAGGAATTTTTCGGATTGGAAAATTTCTCGACTTCCCTGGGTATAGAGTATGATTGTACTTGCCACACAATTATGATAATACAAAAATGGTACAGGCATCGAATGCTCTCAATTAATAACTGTGGAAGTGCATCTAGAACACTAAGATGAGAGCACGCTATAAGCTAATATGCCATACGCAATAAGCTTGAAATGCGAGGAAGAAGAAAAAGAGAAGAAGACAGTCCCCTTGCTCATGCTTATGCTCAATGAAACCTTCTGGAAATTAGTTCAGCATCTTGGTCAATTTAGAAGTTCTCCATATTACCTTGCTAGACCAATTGTTTAAGTGACGTAATAATTTAATAGACAATCAGTAAATCCTCGAGTAAATATGATAATCATCGTGTGGCTTCCATGAAAGCTCAATTTCCCAGCCTTTCCCCAGCGTTGTCGCCGGATGCAGTCTTCTTCAGAAAGAACATAGCAAATAACCTACCAAACAACAACGGCTTGCTCCCCCCAAGCTTCAACAGCTCGACAGCTCGACAGTAAACCATATCTTAGTCACAATATTTACCATGCACATAAAATGCCATAAACATGCACTCTCGGCTTGACTCCTCTTCTTCTAGGAAAACGTAACACCAAAACCGATTCCGGCAAACAAACTCCTCCGGAAGACAACTTAAGCCTGAAATAAAGGAACCGACCGAACCGATGGGCCCATTTACGTCCATTTTAGAATAGCTCAATATTTATCCTGCATAAACTAGACCCTTTTATGTATGGCTGTGTGTATGTGTGTGTCCTTAGGATTACCTCTCCGTAGTCCGTGGTGTAACCGCACCTCTCTGTTTGGAGCTCGGAATTCTTACGACATACGACATGCTATAAACAATTATTTATGCATCAGAGCAGGCGAGATGCACTTCCTCACTTTCATTAAAGCATAAGGAAAGAGAAGGACAAACTGACCCACATCGGTCACCGGCGGCAGATCCAACCGAGTTTGTACCGTCTTCCAAAGAGCGTCGCTCAACAAATGTCACTCTATTATTTACACGCTGCTGACACCCCTCCCCTCCCATCCAAAGCATTACTTTCCGTCCGAGTTGCACCACTTTACACCTTCACAGTTTAGTTTCCCTTTGAAACGGAGCGGGTTTTGAGAGATCTACCATCTCGACAGGTTTTCGTCCTTCTCGGGTCATATTTAAGTGGGTTACTACGGTGCCTCCAACTTACTTGACCTTTATTTATTCCTGGAAAATTTAATTCCCATTCAAGCTTGACTCCGTTTTTGAGCAATGACGTTCCTTCGCTGATTTCTATGCCGCCCCCACGAACGTGACACTTTGCCATCTCGCCGTTTGATTTACGCTTTATTCACACCCTCCGTGTCCTTTTCTCTCTTTCAGATTTCAACGGCGACGGCAAACCGGACAACATCACGTTCATGATCAAACGCATCAAGGTGCACAATCTGAACGCCCTTAAGGATCCGTCCTATCGCTTCGCCGGGAGCTACGGCGTGGAAAAGTTCCTGGAGCTGTTCTCAGGTGAGTTTTCTGCTCAATTTATCGGTTCCTCTGCGACGCCCACCACACCAGGCAGGCAGGTGTGATTCGTGCCACACCCACCCAACCCACCGTTACACACACACACCCACACATATAGACAAAGCGTACCTTTTATTACAATGAAGGTCGGGACAGGTGCAGACAAACAATGGCATTGCATTGCCCTTAGCACGGTGATGGAGAAGCAGTAAATTTACCCGACTGGAATGTATCACTGAACCTGGCAAAGCGTCTGCTGGGTGCAACGCGGTTCATGTACACTTACACACACACCCACACACACACACACACACACTCAGACAATCGAAATGGTTTTATTGGCGGGAAAATTTTTATTTCCAAACGAATCGTTTCGTCGTTTCTTCCGAACGAGTGGAGTTGTACCGTCGGGTTTGTAGGTAGGTAGGTACGTGTGAGAGCAGGTCTATTGGTTTCGCTCTTGTCACGTCGCCTTCGCCTACCTTCCTCGCGGTAGCTTTCCCGTGTGTTCGTTAAGCTGTGAATAATGCCACTTTCGAAGGGAGGGATAGGGTTTCAGGGACACTTTTGCAGCGATTGTTTCGGAACTTTTGGTTTGTTTTTATATGACTGCCACTGACTGCCTGAAATTGGGGTCTCCCTAAGCACAGTCGGGTAAAACCAGGGTGGTGCTGGAGGCGGCTGGGCTCCATTCCCGGTCTGGTCTGGTTTTTTTTTTCGTGTTGAAAAGCTTCACGGCTCGACTGAGCCGGCGTAAAGTCCCAGTGGGGACATAATAATGCCAAAGAAGACTACCAATGGAAAACGTCATATTTTTCTTAGGCAAGCTGAAAGTGTCCTTAGTCAGCTATTTCTTAACACTCCGAATACGGTGTGTAAAATACTTAACACCGACTACGAAGCCTCCGAAAAACGTGTAACGGCAAGTAGGCCATTTTAATTGCAGAAAGATTGTAAATAGGGTCGTATACTTTTTTCAAAAGCGAAAGAGTCGTTACACGTTTTTTAAAGGTGTGTTTATGGGTTTTGCAAGTGACTTAAGATCCATAATTTAGATTAATGGGCACAAATTTTCATAATTAGCCAGAATACAGTCATGTTTCCTACACAGCTAAAAAAAAGTAGTGTAAATTTCCGTTACTATGATGCACATAAATGGAGCGTCATAAATCATACAAATTTACATTATAAATCGTGTAAATTTATGAGACTTGTCATGCAATATTCCATATATTGTATGCAACTTTCCACCTTTGTTTGCAACATTTCTTGCAAGCTGCTAGTTTACGTGAAAAGGAAGTTTACATGCATGAATGTTTGCATGCATGGATGTTTACATCACCAGTAAAATTCAGATTTTTTTAGTGTGTATATATGGAACCTGGAGATAACGGAATGGTCCTCGAAAGATCTGGAACATCCGTAAAAGTAGTCTATCCATTGTCGTGACCTGGCCGAGGTTTCAAGCCTCGGCCATGTGTCTTAACAAAGACCAGTGAGGTGCACATCCGTGCGCTACAACATTAGTTAAATGACTGATTCGATCATGCCAAGCGATGCACACAAGGCTCAATTCGTTTCGTTCACGCATGCATATGTGTGGGTTTATTTAGACCATCGAATCAACGGTACACGCTAACTGAATCTAACTCAAATTGAGTATATCAAAACTTGAGGGGCCAAACTTTACTCTTTATTGTATTATATATACAAATGTTAATTGTAATCTTTCATTATCATTATTATTATTATTATTCCACGCCAACTATGTATACCACATCCATAAGCCCCTGATCCTAGAATTCCGCGTTCTTTTCGAAAACACGTGGAATTGCGATATAAGAAATAATTTGGGGTCGTAACATAAACATGAACCCGAATGACCATGAAATCGTCTTCCAGAAGATCCGTAAAAGTGGTGCATCGATGATACTGGGGCTTATTACGGATGTAACTTCACACAGCTAAAAAAAGTAGTGTAAATTTCCGTTACTATGATGCACATAAATGGAGTATCATATATCATCCAAGTTTAGTTTATAGATCGTGTAAATTTATGAGACATGTCATGCAATATTCTATATATTGTATGCAACTATCCACTTTTGTTTGCAACATTTCTTGCAAGCTGCTTGTTGACGTGAAAAGGAAGTTTACATGTATGAATTTTTGCATGCATGGATGTTAATTCAGAATTTTTTGGTGTGCACGGTGAAAACTTGTCACTTGTCGTTGTCGTGAAGTGATTCTCATTTAATTTGTACGGCAATCACGGCTATTATTCTAAGTTTCACTTCTTTATCACCGTGTAATAAGGCCAACTGATTCTAGAACTTCGCGGTTTTCTCGAGAACCTTTCGAACTGTGAAGTTTTCGAAAAAAGTAGAAGGGTCTGTGTCTAGAGGCACGAACGGGAGCTTGACTTAGGACAGCTAGGGCACGGAGCAAATGTGAAGAAAATTTAATTCTTTTAATTGATCGATCATCTATTATCTTAACTCTTTCCGTTTTTGATTTGTAGGCGTACCAAATTGGTAGTATTTTTTTTTTTTGAAGAATCGATCAAAATCACTTGCACCCCTGCTTCCAAGTTTGGTTACAAGATTACAACTCTGGAGAGCATTTTTTGTGGTCGTTGGGGGTGTGTGGTTTTGAATATGGACCAACTGACAGATGAATTCTATTCTAACTTTTTACTGTAATAAGCTTGTTGGCCAAGAAAAGGGCCGTTGGTGATGATTTAAACTTTGAAACTGTACAAAGTTCGTCTGTCGCTTCAAAGCGTAGACGACATCGATGGCCGCTTACGCTTGGCGTGTTCAGTATAGGTGACAGCATCACGGATCACATTTTCCAAGAACACCTTCAGCACGCCTCGTAGATCAGACTGGAGACACGTTTGACAAAACCACTGCTTTTGCTGCTTCTATTGTCTGCTCACCACGGCGTCCGAAGCGAAAATGAGTTGAGGCTAGACAGCAGTGTTGTTTTATATCTTTTCAGGTTAAAACAGAATGATGTGCAACCAAGTGGTACTTGATTATGAGTGTACCCCATTAGGCATAAATACGTTAGGCATACGGACGTTAGGCATAATGGACGTTAGGCATAAAGTCATTAGGCATCCTGGACGTTAGGCATAATATACGTTAGGCATAATGGACGTTAGGCATAAAATACCTTGCCGCTGTGCAACTCTAGAAACCTGTTTCGAGTATGGTAAACAATGCTTAAATTAGGCTTAGCGTTTAATAAAAAATGATACAAGTTAAACAAAAATAGTTTATTTAATAAGCACAGTTTGGAATCTATTATTTATCATATTATAAGTGAGGTAGTAACATATTTACTTAGATCCAAGATTATTAGCGATAGCGGTTAAGTAATCTGGCAATGAAAACTCACTTGCAAAACCCAAATACACCTTTTAAAAAAACGTGTAGCGACTCTTTTCGCTTCAAAATAATATACAGACCCTAGGAATTCTAGAAGCACCACATTTTTTTTTTAATTTCATCAAGAATTGGCTAAGTTATGCTATTTTAGGAAGTTTCATTATATTCAGGGGAGTTCCGAGTAATTCAAGGACGATCAGAGATCTTCAGAGCAGTCCCATAAGTGTTTGGAAAATTGCAGGAAGTTTCATGGAGTTCCAATGAATTATGAGATATTCAAAGAATTTTGGAAACTTCATGGCTGTTCAGATAAGTTCTGGAAAAAAAAACTAGAACTTCAAGAAATATCAAGGAACTTCATGGCAATTAAATGAATCCTTCAGCAGAATTATTTGGACTATTAAAATATATTGATAAATTCAGCAAAGACTAGTGAATTTAAACGAAGTTCAGAGATCTTTCTTACTTACCTTACCAATCAGGCTAAGGCCTTGTTGTCCTCTGCTGTCGTCTCCACTATACTCGATCCATGGCCACACTTCGCCAGCCTCGTAGTCTGCGAAGGGTCCCAAGGTCACCTTTTACTTACCCTTGTTGGGTCGCTTTCGAGAACCATATTCACTGGGTCGTCGTGCGGCATTCTTACGACGTGCCCAGCCCACCGTAGTCACCCAATTTCTCCCAGCAGCTGGTGCAATTCGTGGTTCATTCGCCTCCTCCACGTTCCGTCATCCATCTGCACACCACCGTAGATGGTACGCAACACCTTCCGCTCGAAAACACCACGAGCATAGTCCAGGTCTCGTGGCCGTATAGGACCACCAGTCTAATCAGCGTCTTGTAGACAGTCAACTTCGTGCGGCGGCGAATTTTATTCAACCGGAGCGTCCTCCGGAGTCCAAAATAGACACAATTCCCTGCCATAATGCGTCTTTGAATTTCTCTGTTGGTATCATTTTCGGCGGTCACCAGTGAGCCCAAATACACGAACTCATCGACCACCTCGATTTCGTCACCGTCAATCTGAACTCGGGGTGGGAGGCTAACATTGTCTTCCCTTTGATGCGTTGATGGCAAGTCCAATCCGCCTAGCTTCAGCCTTCAGTCTGATGTACGTTTCCGCCATCATCTCAAAGTTCCGTGCCATAATGTCAATGTCATCGGCGAAGCCAAGAAGCTGGATGGGCTTCCTGAAGATCGTGCCACTCATGTCTATCCCAGCTCTTCTAATCACACCTTCTAACGCGATGTTGAACAGCAGACACGAAAGTCCATCACCCTGCCGTAACCCCCTTCGAGATTCAAAGGGACTCGAGAGTGTCCCCGATACTCGAACAACGCACATCATTCGATCCATCGTCGCCTTGACCAATGGCGTCAGTATATCCGGAAGTCCGTACTCGTGCATAATCTGCCATAGCTGATCTCGATCGATTGTGTTGTATGCGGATTTGAAATCGATGAACAAATGATGTGTGGGCACGTTGTATTCGCGGCATTTCTGCAGAAACTGCCGAATCGCGAAAATTCGGTCCGTGGTAGCGCGGGCACCCATGAATCCCACCTGGTATTGCCCCACGAACTCTCTTACAAGTGGAGACAGGCGGCGACATAAAATTTGGGAGAGTACCTTGTAGGCGGCGCTCAGCAGAGTGATCGCGCGGTAGCTGCAGCAATCCAACTTGTCGCCCTTTTTGTAGATTGGGCATACGACTCCTCCGGTAATATCTCCTCCTCCCAAATCTTGGAAATTACCTAGCGCAGCGCTCTAGCCTCCCTTAGCTCAGTCGGTAAAGGCACAGCTACAAAGCAAGACCATGCTGGAGGTGGCTGGGTTCGAGTCCCGGTCCGGTCTAGGAATTGTTCGGGTTGGAAAATTTCTCGACTTCCCTGGGCATAGAGTATGATTGTACTTACCACACAATAATACTAATTCAAAAATGGTATAGGCGTCGAAAAAGCTCTCAATTAATAACTGTGGAAGTGCATCCAGAACACTAAGTTGAGAGCACGCAATAAGCTAATATACGATACGCAATAAGCTTGAAATGCGAGGAAGAAGAAGCGGTCTAGCCAGTGCTTCACCACCGTATTTTAATAGCTCACTTGTTAGTTGATCTACACCAGTTGCTTTGTTGTTCTTCAGTCGACCGATCTCCTCCTCAACTGTCTTCTGCGCGTGCCACCTTCGTTTTCTGGTGCTTCACCGTTGAGCTGCTCGTCATAGTACTGCTTCCACCTCTCAATCACCTCACACTCGTTCGTGAGAAGGTTACCGTCCAAGTTCTTGCACATATCGGCTTGCGGCACGTAGCCTTTGCGCGAACTATTTAGCTTCTCGTAGAACTTCCGTGTGTCGTTTACGCGGTACAGATTTTCCATCGCCTCGCGATCTCAGTCTTCCTGCTGACGCTTCTTTCTTCGGAAAACCGAGTTTTGTCTGTATCGCTCCATATTAAGTCTCGTGCGGTGTTGCAGCATTCTCGTCCGTGCTGCATTCTTCTCCTCTACTAACAGTTTGCATTCGCCGTCAAACCAGTCATTTCTTCGGTCCGGGATTGCAGTGCCTAGTGCCGGTGCAGCAGTACGTCCTATGGCGGAACGGATGTCCCTCCAGACATCTTCAAGAGAAGCTGCGCCAAGCTGCTCTTCCGTGGGTAGTGCAACTTCCAGCTGCTGCGCGTAGTCCTGGGCAACTCCGGCGTCCCGTAGTTGCTCAATGTTGGGTCGCGGCGTTCGATTTCGCCGGGTGTTATGCACCGTCGAGAGTTTTGAGCGCATGCATACTGCAACTAGGTAGTGGTCCGAATCTATGTTCGCACTTCGGTTCGTGCGGATGTTGATAATTCTGTGTGTTGGTGAGGTGATCTCCAGGTGGCTTTGTGGATATCCTTGCGGGGGAAAAAGGTACTTCAAACTACCATACCCCGAGAGGCTGTAATGTTCACGCATCGTTGGTCGTTGCCGTTTGATACGGCATGCAGGCTGTTTTTCCCGATTGCCGGTCTATACATTGCCTCCAGTCCTACCTGAGCGCTCAGGTCGCCGAAGACGTTGCGAACAGCCGTCGTACACCTGCTCCTGGTGCCACAGCTCTGGTAGACAGTAGCCGCTCGATGCTCGCTTTTCCATATCTTTTGTCCCGTCCAGCAAAGTTCCTGCAGTGCTACGACTTCGAAATTGCGTGGTTGAAGTTCGTCATAGATTAACCTATCGCAGCCTGGGAAGCCGAGCGATTTGCAGTTCCAGAGTTCCGAGTTTCCAATCGTAGTCCTTATTTCGTTGCGTACGTCTGTATCGATTGTTCCAATCCTTATTTCTTTCTTCAGTATTTGTAACTTTATGTTTTTTTCCCGTGCGGCTTGTTGGGCTTGCCCCAAACCCCTGGATCGCCGGGGGACCATCGTGCACAGCTCTGTTTAGAGTCCCACGCTGGCACTAGGACGGTGATCAGCCGCTCCTAACATGGAGAACAGACGCTCGGGTTTGATGAAGCATTTCCTCTATCACCGTACTATGGTTACCGCGCCAGTGTTCGCGTCGCACCTCTTCACTTTGCTATTGCCGGACTGGCAACATTGCCCAGGCTACGCCACCCAGCTGTGTCCATGTTTCAGCTGGTAGTCTTTTGTTATCATATGACTCGGGAAGGCGTGAAGTAGGAACTTGGGAGGACCAGAGCTAGGTATTCCGCTGCTTATAGGTTGTCAACTAATCATTTTGAAGCCTCAGAGATCTTTCTGGTAGTTTCATAATCATAAGAAATGATCACGGGAAGTCAGGCCATTAGTCCCCAGTCCATGAGTTGATGGGTCGATAGGTAGGGTCCAGGTGTGGAAGCTGCCTCCCTAGCGTCGGTAGCATTGGTATACGCATTGGTCAGTACGGAAACCAAGATCAATGAAAAACAAATCATGCAAAAATAAAAATCTTCAGGCAAGTCCATATAGATTCTGGGAGGTTCCATGATCTTTAAGGTCATGGTATAGAAAACTTCAAGAAAATTGTAGGAACGTCAAGATAGTTCAAATAACTTCAGGGCAGTTCAATTTACTTCAGGGAAATAGTGGGCACTTTTAAAAAGTTCAGACAAGTTCAGAGATATTTACGGCAGTTCCAACAACTTCAGTTTGGAAACCTCATTAATGTATAGACTTTCGGGGAAGTTAAAAATCTTGAGAAATTAGTCATTTTGATTAGGTTTTCCAATGAGCTGATTGCAGTTTTATCATCAACAACGTTTAGATACAGCGTTTGGGATCTTCATCAGGGCTAGATATAGATTCAGATCGTAAAATATGTTGCACTGAACCTTATATTCAATGAAGAAGAACCAAGTTCAAAAAGACCTTTAGTGAAACCTTTAGTTTTACCTATAACCTAGTTTTAATTAGAGGTAACTAAAGTGTGTGTGTACATTCCTTATTTACAACGCTTAAAAGAAGTACGCAGATTTAAGTTCGGCGGGGGCACATAAATTAAAAGAAAAATATAAGGAACCAGCTCTAAATTTGGCATAACAGCACTGTTGCCCCTGGGTGCCTTTTGGCCTGTTCTATCCTACACATCTGAACCGATTTGGAGTTGAAAGTGGTGCTTAAATGTAAGGCCTGGTTGGACAGAATCTAGTTGTGGTCGCTCGATATTACCTGTTAAATGATCCTTACTTTTTCCAAACCGGCACCAAACTGCTAGTTCCCCAGGGTTCAGAAACCCTACCGGGGTCTGAACCTGATCAAAGACCGCCATAAAAACGGCGATGACTGTCAATGCATATTTTATTGCACGACTGTAGCAGCAATCGCTATTCACGCTTTATCCAACCTTCCTCCGATGCTCCTGCTCATAGCCCCCCCCCCCCCCCCCACCCTTGAAATAAAAACAAATTCCTCCGATCACCGCAGTTTCCACAACCAACATCGGGGACGAATTCCTCCAGCTCAAATAAATTGCTCTACAAGTGAAGCTCCACTTCCGCCGTTCGATTGGTCTTGCACCGCGCAAAGGAAAAAAAAAACAACAACAATAACAGTAACATCGTTGCTATATAGTGGGAAACTACCCAGCAGGAAGCCAATCTGAAAACCGAGACACACATCTACGGTGAGCGGTGGCGGGCGACCGACGACGCAGCACCAACACCGGAAACCAACCAAATAATGCAAATACGAAATAAACGAATATAAACTTTTTCCTCCGTCCGTCCGTCCGTCCGTTCGTCCGTACGCCATAAATTCACCACCAAGGCAAAACTATAGGTAGCTCTGTGTAGGTGGGAAGGAATCAGACGCGAGTGAGAAAAAAGCATAAATTTATGCTACTTCACCGGCTCTTCTCCTCTAGGAAGTAGGGTTTATAGTGGGTTGGTGTCTTGCCTAGGTGGAAGCGAAGCACAGAGCCAGAAAAACGGCGGAAATCTGGGAAAATAATGTGTGCCATGATAAGCAGAAACTCGAGCTTCGTTCTCCAACTCCAGGAGTTCCGGGCTCATGCAACAGACTCTGCGCTGCCGCCAAAGGATCCGCACCTCATATGTGCTCGGTGGTGGTGATGGAGATGACACTCGAAACCCAAAAACGAATAGATATGCAAAAATCACCTCGCAACCACGAAAATATGTCACCCACCGCGCGAGGGAATGATTTACAATTTTCCATTCAATTTCGCTGATGATAGATGGGAGAGGACGAGATTCTGATCCCTCCTTGGTGCAGCTGCTGTTGGGATGCATCACTGCAGGAAATCAAATCTGCACCGCACAAATCTGCTTTTGAAAGGTGAATGACAGATTTCGACTTCTTACGTGATCAATCCATCCCCTTCAACAGGGGTGGCGTCAACAAACCATGCGTCTCCACGGGGAACGTGTCACACTTTTATTCGACGGAAAAAAAAAACGAACCCCATCAAAATTCACACCAACCGATGGACGACGGATTACCTATTCAGCACACGACTTTCGTACGTTGGAACCATGTACTTGATGTTGAGATAGGCATCCCGGCCGCCGGTTCGCTCCAGTAGAGCCAGTGTTTCGTCAATGACATCGCCGAGGCGGTTGCCTCCCTGGAAGTCAATCCGGTCACCGATGTTGACGTTGAAGGCGCCGAACAGGTTCGGGATGGGTAGAAGCTGCCGGTAGTATGGGACCAGGGCCGGACCGATGCAGGGTCCTGCGGTGGAGTGAAGAGGAAAAGTGGTAGCATTAGAGATTGAGGGGCTGGATAAATGAGATTGGAATTTTAAAGACAGTCAAATATTTTGAAACAAGACAGGTTGGGAAATTGGCATTCACTTTGAAAGTCAACCTGTGAACACGGGCGCAGCCAGTTTGATTGTCAGTGAGTTAATATATCCGGACTGATTTGAGATTTTGGCGTAACTGTTTGAATGTTGGGTAATTTGAACCCACTTTTACCCATGGTGGCTGTTTTCGGCGATATGACATGGGTGGTATATTAGCCATTTCTTCGGTTATGGGCAATTTTGGAACATTTAAGAAGATTCACACTAGGATAAGTGAACCAGTTTGTGGCCCCTGTGATTCTCTAAGTGGTTCTATCTTAATTTTAATTTTTTGTATTTTGTTTTCGAAATTAATTTCCACACAGGGTTAGAACATAGATTTTGTCAAATTTGAGTTAGGCCCTAGGACCAAAACCTTGAGCACTTGTATCATAACTGGCTCACTTACCCTGCTTAAAGGATATTTTGTAGCTTTTCAGCAAAACCAACAAAAGTAGCATATTTTTTAAAACCTAACCTTTCTCGAAAAAATAAACAGATTTTTCCCAGAACTTTATTCTTCTTCAAGTTTTTGGTGGCCTGACGATGTTACATACCATACATACATACATTTATTTGTACAACATCACATTTAAGATAAGACATAATCAACAATAGTACGCCACAATACTCGGTTTGCGGCTGCCGCTCCCCAGCCTCGGTCATGCCCGATGCTCGCTAGATCACGCTCTACCTGGTCCGCCCATCGTGCTCTCAACATGCCCTGCCCACCGCATCCTTCCGGCTTTGGCCACCTTCTGGATGCTGGGTTAGCCGTAGATTGCAGTGAGCTCGTGGTTCATTCTTCGCCGTCACTCACCGTTCTCCTGCACACCGCCGAAGATCGTCCTTAGCACACGTCGCTCGAAAACTCCGAGTGCTTGCAGGTTCTCCTCGAGCATAGTCCATGTCTCGTGTCCATAGAGGACCACCGGTCTTATTAGCGTTCTGTACATGGTACATTTGGTGCGGGGGTGAATCTTTTTTGACCGTAGTTTCTTCTGGAGCCCGTAGTAGGCACGACTTCCACTGATGATGCGCCTTCGTATTTCACGACTCACATTGTTGTCAGCCGTCAGTAAGGATCCAAGGTAAACGAATTCCTCCACTACCTCGAAAGTATCCCCGTCAATCGTGACATTACTTCCTAGACGAATCCTGTCATGTTTGGTTCCGCCTACTAGCATGTACTTTGTTTTTGACGCACTCACCACCAGTCTGACCTTTGCTGCTTCGTGTTTCAGGTGGTTGTATAGTTCTGCCATCGTTCCAAATATTCTTGCAACAATGTCCATGTCATCCGCAAAGCACACAAATTGACCGGATTTCGTGAAAATCGTACCCCGGCTGTTGAGTCCGGCTCGTCGCATTACACCTTCTAGAGCGATGTTGAAGAGTAGGCATGAGAGTCCGTCACCTTGTCGCAGTCCCCGGCGAGATTCGAATGAACTGGATAGTTCACGCAGTTTTGCACACCGTCCGTCGTTGCTTTGATCAGTCTGATCAGCTTCCCAGGAAAGCCGTTCTCGTCCATGATTTTCCATAGCTCTGTGCGGTCGATACTGTCGTATGCCGCCTTAAAGTCGATGAACAAATGATGCGTTGGGACCTGGTATTCACGGCATTTCTGGAGGATTTGCCGTACGGTGAAGATCTGGTCCGTTGTCGATCGGCTGTCGATGAAGCCGGCTTGATAACTTCCCACGAACTCGGTCATTTTTGGTGATAGACGACGGAAGATCATAGCACCTTGTAGGCGGCATTCAAAATGGTGATCGCTCTGAAGTTCTCACATTCCAAATGGTCGCCTTTCTTGTGAATGGGACAGATTACCCCCTCCTTCCACTCCTCTGGTAGCTGTTCTGTTTCCCAGATCCTGACTATCATCCGGTGCAGGCAGGTGGCCAACTTTTCTGGGCCCATCTTGATGAGCTCAGCTGCGATACCATCCTTACCAGCAGCTTTGTTGTTTTTGAGCTGCTGAATGGCATCCTTAACTTCCCTCAGCGTGGGAGTTGGGTCAGTTCCGTCCTCTGCTGCACTGACGTAGTCGTTTCCTCCATTGTGCAGGTCTCCACCTTTCAATCACCTCACGTCCGTCCTTTTCCTTGCACATTTCGGCTCGCGGCACGAAGCCGTTGCGGGATGCGTTGAGCTTCTGGTAGAACTTCCGTATTTCTTGGGAACGGCACAGCAGTTCCATTTCCTCGCACTCCGCTTCTTCCAGGCGGCGTTTTTTTTACCCGAAAGATGCGGGTCTGCTGTTTCCGCTTCTGTTTGTACCGTTCCACGTTCTGTCGGGTTCCATGCTGCAGCATTACCGCCCGCGCTGCGTGCTTCTCCTCCAAAATCGCTCTGCACTCCTCGTCGAACCATTCATTCCGTCGACTTCTTTCCACGTACCCGATGGTGCTCTCGGCTGCGTCGGTGATGGCTGCTTTTACTGTACTCCAGCAGTCCTCTAGAGGGGGCACATCGAGCTCGCCCTCCTCTGGCAACGCTGCCTCGAGATTCTGCGCGTATGCTAAGGCGACATCCGGTTGCTTCAGTCGCTCTAGGTTGTACCGTGGCGGGCGTCGGTACCGTACATTGTTGATGATGGAAAGTTTTGGGCACAGTTTGACCATCACCAGGTAGTGGTCAGAGTCGATGTTAGCGCCACGATAGGTCCTGACGTCGTATCTGTATCATAATTTGCTTTTGGATTTGAGAACTTTTTAGTCAACAGCCAGGAGCTGTAGACGCGATACTCACTGTTGAACAGCTCGTGGTCAACAATATCATTTGCCCCTCTACAGCTTACAGTTTGTCAGATCTCACTTTCTCCAGAAAAAAAAACCCCGAACTCATCACGTCTCTCAATATGCCGAGCGTTAAAAAAAATTAACTTCACTTCACCGTTATCCAGAAGCCAAACGCAACAAAGTAGCTCAGCTCGTAAAACGGTGGATATCCAATCCCAACATCCGGGCAATTCCATCCCAGCAGGGAATCACACAAAATTACTCTGTAACTGTGTAGCATCCTGTGCACTTTACAATGAAAAATGACGATATCACGAATTTCTCCTCCGGTATCCCCGCCCCCCGATGGTAAAACAACACGATCTTCGCAAAAGTATTGCTCTTCAACGACGACGACGACGACGATGACGCTCCTAGAGAGCCCCATAACTCGTCTTCGAATAAGGGGAACAACAGGTGTTCGCGTAATAAAAATGCCATCAACGGTGAAAGAAACCACCATCAACCGTCGCCTTTCAGAAAATGGGTTCCCACCCCCGCCCCCGTCTCATTATGGCTCTAAAACTAACACGGAATCGAGATCCCTTTTCACTGTTGTTTGTTGAGCTGCTGTTGCTGCTGCTGCTGCCGGGGCTGGACGAATTCTTGACGGGATAGGAATTTTTTAATTTAATTTTTATCTCTGTTTCACCTCCAACCGTCACGAGCTTCGCTTTCTTGGGACTACTGGTGCTGCTGCAGGACCTTGTTAGAGTCTCAGTTCTTTCCACAGGATCTTCACGCCAGCGTGGAAGGAGATCGGGGACGGCGCAAACGGGGCGACAGCACGCAGCAGTAATTAAATGTTTCTTTCTTTGTGATTGTATGTGTGTGTATGTGTGAGAGACTGGGGAAAGGAGGGTACGATGAAACAAGGAGAAAAGTCATCAAGCGTGTGCGAGTGTAATTAAATGGAAATTTATTAATTCCGAAGCATTGTCGATTGCCGTTGTTTGTTTGTGTACTCACAGGTGTGACCAACGTACACAGTTCGTGGAAAACAACAAGTCATTCGGGAATGTAGGCCGAACGAATTTCACTGATTTTGATTCAACAGTTATCATCCTTCATTCGATGCATCCCAAACGCAATAGTTTAAAGCCTCACACTTCCACATTGTCCATAGTTTCAGGCATAGGGTAAGCAAATCATTCCACTCGGCTGCCCCAATCGATCCGAGCAATAATTTAATTATGCTCCTTCTTCGAACTGCGTGCAACATGGACATGGACCTCGCCGTAGGCACACCGAGCAATGAAAACTTTTGCAATCGATCCCGGTTGTAAAATAATAATGCTACTACTGCATACTTGTTCGGTCAATTGCTAAAGGACCAGCTGCAGACTCTAGCCCTACACACCACCACCATCACCATCATCATCATCATCGCCATCACTATTCTAAACTCACCAACCGACCCAAATAGTGTTGTAGGGAAACTTACCGGCCTGCACCAGCTGCTGGAGGGCTCTCAGAGTGGCAATTATAACGTCCGGATCTTTCGTATTCAGGGCCCGTTTGGCCGGCAGGATCAGCATCGGCAGACAGCACAGGAGCTGGAAAGACACACCGAGATACAAGAGACACCATGTATGAGAACTTGCTATTACTGTATGTATAGAGATAAGAATCGAACTGAATCCTAGATGATAGCAGGCCTTCCCCCATCGTAATCCTCTTCGATGTTGGTGTTTGGGTTCGGAACCCACCGGAAAGTTGTTTTTGGAATTGGCATTTACCGTTCAGTGAGCAGTTAATCGGAGGAAAGTAATGATTTTAATTATACTCCTGCTCCGGGGCCGGCGGATCCGGACGGAAAGTCTGTAACTGAATTAACGTTTCTGTCTGTTTTGGACAGAGCACTGCTGCATCTAAGGGCAGTTTGCTTATTCGCACTGATTGAAAGTCTCCTCTTTTCCAAACGATTAATTAATTAGCCCTGCAAGTCATTCGAAGCAAACTGCTGCAACATCTCTTTTATAATGAGCAGTTTTCTTTCTAGTTTATTTTCTCAAGCTCTATGCAATTAGTACGCGACCTACCCGGTCCATATTTTCCCGATCGCAACAGGAATAATTAAAGACTTTCGCCCTTTCTTCTTCATCGCCGGCGGCGAGTTAATCCGCAAATAGAGTTCTCGGGCTATTCGCCGTCCAGCAGCAAAACACGTTTTCGCATCCTTTTTCTTCCCCCTCCAATAGAGCCATTTTTAAAGAAGACTGTTTTTTGCACGATTATCCCACCGGTAAACGAAGAAGCACCCTACAAACACGGTTCTAGATTAAAGCTATCAAATACCGTTCGGTTCGGTGAGCAATCTTCGCGAACGGTGCCGTGCGCGGGTCAGGCATTAGTTGGACCTTTTGGATATCCATTCCTCGTTTGCAGGTCTGGAACAGTCCAGTGCTTTTCCTTGATTTGTTTTCCGTCGATCTTGTTTTCCGTAAGAAGTACCAATGCTACCGACGCCAGAACTAGTAGACCGGAGACCAACGACTTTACTCCCCTTGCGCAGGAAGCTGTGATCAGAGATTGAATGCCTCAGAAAATCCCGGCGGCGCCGACTGGGATTGAACCCAGGCCTTTTGGGGTGAGAGGCAATTACGCTTACCACTACAGTCCAGTGCTGTCATGGTAAACTTAGACCTTGTTACTCACGTCCATGCGCCTCGTTCAAGAGCGCCCACGGAATTCAGTTCCCTCTAATCTTCATTTATGAAGTGCCAGTTCGTTTTGTTAGCTATCGATATCTGAGACGTGAAATACTTTCGATTACAAGAGATTCCTAATCACTATTCCATCCTTAACAGGCAGGGTAGCTTGAATCAAAACCGTTATTTTCTTCAGTCACCTAGGCACCTAGAGCTCTTGCAATTTTTCAAAATTTCATAGAACATCCATGAACTCCTGAAATTTTCCTGAAGTTCTCGGAATGCTTCGTAAATTTCTCTGGACTTTCAGAATTTCCTCAAGGTTCTTTGACTTCACTGAAGTTCACTGTACTTTCCTGAAGACCTCAGAGCATTAACTAGGTGGGATGAAAAGTAACCACCTTGAGCGCCAGAATGCGCTGCTACTGCAAAAAAGGTTATGGTGCCTTGTAGTCCGTTCATATTTAGGCAGACATTTCAGTGCGATCGGCCTTTTTAATGCACCACCAACGTAGAGTGCGCCACGCGAGTTCGAGAAGAAACGTCAACCCAACCGTTTGTTTACATCAGAATAACTATTTTTCACAACGCAAATTAAAGCATTTTTCATTCAACATCTTGCCAAATTCCATCGGTAATTGTCTTATTGTACGATTTTCTTCAGATCTGAACTGATTTGTACCTTAACTATTCACGCACAAGAAATCCGGTAGATCATAACCACTTTTCGAATTTTCCATTTTTCTCAAGAAAAATATTCCTGAACACCAGCGGACCTTTGCAAAAACGTTACAGAATTAATTTTTTCAACAGTAGATTAAGTTTTGGAGCATCTTAGATGAATCAATTTATCAGGAAAAGTGAAAAAAGTTTCCCGCTTCCTATGTCTCAGGCTAAAATTTCTGCTCACAACACTCTTTTTGACCTTCTGCTATTCACCACCAGAGGTCGAATCGATCGTTTAGTTTCTATTAAAAAGGCCTATACTGTCTTTAGTTTTGTTTTGACAGCTGTTTGTTGTTGACGTGTTTGGCATCATGTTGAGTATGGATAAAAACGATTTTCGTTCTCACGTAAAACATCATTTTTTGAGAAGCAAAACGGCGAAGGAAACAAAAGAAAAGTTGCATAAATATTATGGGGCTAATGCTCCGTCAGATTACACCGTCAAATATTGGTTTCGAGAGTTTCGGGGTGGCGGCAACTTCACTACCGATCAAGTCCGCCGCGGGCGGCCCCTTTCGATGCGGTTACAGAGGACAATGTCAAAAAAATACATGAAATGGTGTTGGCTGACCGGAAAGTGAAGGTGCGCGAGCTAGCAGATACCGCAAAGATTAGTACTGAGCCATATTTTGGGTGACATTCTGCATATGAAAAAGTTATCCTGCCGCTGGGTGCCACGCAAGCTCACTCCTGACCAAAAACACGAACGTGAGAGCACTTCGAAAGAGTGTTTGGACTTGCTGATGAGGAATCGGGCGGACTTTTGGCGTCGATTGGTAACTGTTGATGAAACCTGGATCCACTTTTACACCCCAGAGAACAGAATGAGTGCCCGGCAATGGACTGAAGCCGGCACGAGTGCTCTGAAGCTGCCAAGGGAGGCTCGATTGGAGCGATTGAAGGCCGAAATCGCTGCAAAACGGCCTCACATGAAGTAAAAAAAAAATTATTTTTTCAAGGCAATGCGCCGGTGCACAAGAGTATCAGAACCACGGCTAAAATCAGTTATTTACGCATCCACCGATTTGGCTCCCTCAGACTATAGGCGAATCCAGTAGAAACTAAGCGATCGTTTCAGCCTCTCGTGGTGAATAGGAGAACCACCAAAAGAGTGATGAGAGCTGAAATTCTCGCAGTGAAGCATAGGATTAGGAAAATGTTTTTACCTTTTCTGATTAAATTATACATCGCAGGTGCTTGAAACCATCATCCACGTGGAATATTTTGTTTTCTGTATCGATTTTGCAGTGATCCGGCGGGTGCTGCCACATATTTTTGTTAAGAAAAGTGAATATTTTCAAAAATGTCCCAGCGGTTATGATCATCCGGATTTTTAATGTGATGTTATTTGAGCTGTAAATCTGTTCAAATATGTGAAAAATAATAAAATAAGACCCCTCCCGATGGAAATATGCAAGATATGCATAAAAATATGCGTTAATTTGAGATGTAAAAAATGTAATTTTGATGTAAACAAACGGTTTGGTTGACGTTTCCTCTCATAATCGCCTAGCGCACTCTACATTGGTGGTGCATAGAAACAGCCTATTATCTCTTCCAAAACCTCAAAAGATGGCTCATCAATAAAAAAAATCAGCTCACTTGAGGAAATCATCGACGCCGCGGAGGAGTATTTTGCAGACCTTCCGGAAAATTACTTTCCAGACGGGATCATGAAGTTGAAAAATCGCTGGAATAAGTGTGTCGAACTTTCCTGAAGTAAACTGCTTCGAACTTTTTTCGAAGTTTTTGAAACTACCTGGATGCTCACGGAACTTCGCTTAAATTATTTGGACTCTACTTTTTTTCTCATACTTTCTAAAAGATCTTGCAATTTTGCTGGAATTCAAGGGAGTATGTGACGTTTTAACAAATTTCCAAGAAGTTCTCGAAACTTCCTTAACATTTCTGTAATTTCCATGAAGCTAGTGGAATTGTCCTAAGCATCTATAATCTTCCCTGAAGTTTTCGAAACCTTTCTAGAGCTCTTGAAATTCTCCTGAGGCTCTTGGTACTGGCCTGAACTTAATAGATCATCTGAATTGATTGATGAACGTTGTAGTAGAATAATAGTATATCTTATTACGTTGTTTTTCCTTTAAATTCTACTGCTATTGCGTCACTTTCACTTTAACTAAGTCACTTTCACTATCACTTTAAAGAATTTTTGACGTAGGGCTACGTCTTTAATTTCTATACTGGGGTACACTTTGTGAAAACCGAAAATGGAACATGAAACAAAATTATGAAAGATTTTGAACATTAATAACTCAGCTGCCCCTGAACCAATTTCAATAATTTTATCACCAATCGATCATAAATATTTCTACGCAATGCTTCCATCTGATGATTTTCACCAAGAAACTATTGAAAAAGTGGTAATGTTAAGCATTGTCCAATGTACAAATAAACGCGATAATTTTACCACTGTTTTCATGAAATAAACGTTCTTCCCAAACCCAGTCGTCATAATCGACTACCACTTGGTTGCACATCATTCTGCTTTAACCTAAAAAGATATAGAACAACGCTGCTCTCTAGCCTCAACTCATTTTCGCTTCGAACGCCGTGGTGAGCAGGCAGAAGAAGCTGCAAAGGCAGTCGTCTGGCTCGCCGTGGCGGTGTCAAACGTATCTCCGGTCTACGAGGTGTGCTGAAGGTGTTCCTGTAAAATGAGATCCATGACAGACAGACAGACAGACAGACAGACAGACAGACAGACAGACAGACAGACAGACAGACAGACAGACAGACAGACAGACAGACAGACAGACAGACAGACAGACAGACAGACAGACAGACAGACAGACAGACAGACAGACAGACAGACAGACAGACAGACAGACAGACAGACAGACAGACAGACAGACAGACAGACAGACAGACAGACAGACAGACAGACAGACAGACAGACAGACAGACAGACAGACAGACAGACAGACAGACAGACAGACAGACAGACAGACAGACAGACAGACAGACAGACAGACAGACAGACAGACAGACAGACAGACAGACAGACAGACAGACAGACAGACAGACAGACAGACAGACAGACAGACAGACAGACAGACAGACAGACAGACAGACAGACAGACAGACAGACAGACAGACAGACAGACAGACAGACAGACAGACAGACAGACAGACAGACAGACAGACAGACAGACAGACAGACA